GGTGTGGGCGAGCACAGACTCGAGCCCAGGTGTCTAGCCACTCCTGGAACACTCAAATCTCAGGCAATTTTGCAGGAAACCAAATCTCCTCAGTGTCATTATTATTCTACAATGCTCAAGGCCACACCCATAAGTCTTGTACACCCATAAGTCTTTTATATTTCTGCGATTACCATGAGAAAACCCTGCTAAGTACAGCAGACATATGAATAGTTTCAGTTCAGCTAGTGAGGTGTCATAATAAATGCATTGTTGAGCATGGCTATTGGTGCATACAGAATGTTTTACTTGCATTTCATCATCTGTGTATTTCACAACATCTTGTGGCATTTTGTCTGTTACAGACAATTCCCAACACTGAATGACAGTGCTGGCATTCATCCCTGCCAAGATCCTCATTATATTTTTGGATGTATTTGTAAAATTGGGTTACTCCATTTGGTTGTGTGACCATTTTGTACCATTTTGACTAGTCATATATGTACTATCATTGCTGTTTTTTCATCAGCTGGATCAGGGGATTCTTCATTCTCTGAGCCTGTATCTGTTGATTTTTGTTCCATCTCACTGTCATAAGAACTTTGGCTCACATGGCCAATGTCATCATCTGTACACGAGTCACCTGGCGATTCACTTTCAACCTCCTAAAAAACTTGCAAATCTGGTTTTTAATGTGCTGTTGTACTGAATTGGGTAAACTCTACCAGAAAAATCAAAAGAAAACTTTTTTAAAAAACAAATCTTAAATACACACATATTGCTACTTTGGAGCTCCTATGTACATCTTGCCACTTGTCTGCCAAATGGGTGAACATGCAGATGAGTTCCTGTTGTCTCCAAGCCCAGATACTGTGAGCCCCACCAACATTCCATTCTGTAAAGTATATGATTACATAACTGAGTGGTGTGGGGGTATTTTACTCAACCCCCACCCTGTGATGCTCAAAAATGATTAGAGGGAGGATTTCAGTTTTTATTTTTTTGGTACCAGGAATTGAACTCATGACCTCAGGTTTGCCAGGCAAGTGCTTATGCCACTGAGCTATATCCCTAGTCCCAGAGGGAGCATTATGTAGGTGAAAATCCCAGTTTGATACTTTGCACAGGTGCACACACCTTGCCTTTTGTTCCTGGTACCAAGTGGCTAAACACAAAGGTTGCTTCCTATATCCCTCCAGTGAAGCTACTGAGAGGCACACCTGGCTGCTGTTTTGCTGAAGTACAAATTTACAGTAGAAAATTATGGGATGGGTTTTTGTAACCCAATGCTATACCCTATGGGTGAGTCACCTTCTACAATCCTGTGTAGACTACCTTTTGTTATAAAGTATTTTTTTCCCTGATCCTAGAGTTTGTGTGCAGAGTATATGAGAAAGTCTGAGAACACTTTTGAAAGTTTAGTTTGGAAACTTTAATTGCACTTCAAAGTGGATATAAAAATATCTCAGAATACTTGGAAAACCCTGAGAAAATAAAAAAGTTACATTAGTGGAAAAATAAATCAGAGCATAGCTCCCTCCTTTATTTTAGCAATTCTTTCCCATCCAATAAAACAGATGTTGAGGGGGAAATGGATTAGCTGGGAAAAACCATCCTAACCATATCTCCTTCACTTGGAGTCCTGTCTCACCCCACAACCCCCAATGCAGTGACAATTTGTTAAAGGAAGATGGCAAAGAATTGGAGCTTTATTTCTCAGGCCTGAAGAAAAAGAAAGCTAAGTGAAAATATTAGCAAGCTGAATGCAATGTGATAGCCAGGATGGGAGCTTGCAGTAGAGATAGGACAGTAGAGGAGAAATTAGTAAACTCTGCAGAAAGTCTAATATTTAGTGATACTATTCATATTACTAACTTTGACAGTTATGCCATAATAAAGTAAGATATTAAGGCTGACTCATCTGTTATCTAGAGTCAGTTTGCTTTGTCTCTTTTTACTAGTATTAATATCAACTTTTTAAAAGAAATATGAGCATAGCATTAAATAAGGTCAAGAATGCCAACTATATACATCTGGCCATAGAAATAAACCTAACAGACATTCCTCTGGCCAGGTTAGGTGATCAGCATATACTCTATACCTCCAAAGAAAGAAGTAAAGGACCTGACATGTGGCCACTCTGTGTTTAGGACTGCTGGGGAATATAAAACTTTGTAATATGAATTCAGGGTTGGGGGAACAACATGGTTTGGCTGCTACTCAGATTTCTATTTTTCAATGCCCTGAAGCAAACCACAATCTTAAAGGAGTTTCTGCACAATGTCTTCTGTAAGTTTGTGTTCTGGAAGTATTTAGCACGCTTATGTAGTTAAGTGAAAAAGCCCGTGTAGTGATCAAAATGATAATGTTGCAAAAAGATGATATCCATATTTTGAGTTATTGATTGATTTGCACCTCCAGTGATTAGCAAATACTACTTTGAGGTGACTGTCCTTAGAAATTACAGATGTTTTAGAGCAATTTACAGTCTGTTTGAACACACAGTACTTACAATATTTATCTCTATTTTTTTAACATTCTTTTATGCAGCAATAAAATTTTTATACCATTATGATAATGTCATAGCTGGTTTTCTAATATCGGTTTTAAAGAATGTCTTATAGATATACAAATAGAAGAAGTATTTAGAGAAAAAATAAATAGATTTCTTTTTCCCTCATTATTTATTTATATATGCAACAAACTTATAAAAGGGTTTTGAAGCTACTTAAGATAGAATTTCAGGGATAATCTGAGACCCAAACAAAGGAGACAAAGTAAAAGCAGACATGAAGATACAGTGGAGGAAGGCTGGAAGGAAGTAGACTTGGGTTTGCAGTCTGTCTTTCTAAAATGTAAAGTTAGCATGGAACATATGCCACTATATGAAGTTTTAATCATAAGCATTTATACAATGTGTGAATCTGAATAAAACCTAATTTTAGAATTTTATTAGCAGTCTAAGATTGTAACTTAGAAGTTCTCTTGGTGAAATATAGTGTGGCCTTCTACTTGACAAGGATGCTATAAGTGATCAGTGACTTAGACATGCATGAGACCCAAGTCAGGTGAGGCTTTCTTATTCTGTGTCATTTATTTTCCCAGTGTGATTTCAGTGGTCAGAACATGTCTGCTGTGTGAACCTTTAAAAAAATCAGTGCAGCCTTCATTCCTTACCACCTTTTCCTTATATTATAGTATATTATAATAACTGTTCTTTTTTTTTCTCATAGAACCAATTTTTTATAAGCTGTGCTGATGACAAAGTTGTGTTCAACAAGGTGGGTGATGCCATTGCTCAGAGGATCCTGAAAGCTCACAGGTAAAGTTGTTGGCATTTGAGTGAGTAACATTTTGGGCAAAGTTGTTAATCCAAATGCTGTTGTTATTTATTACTGAATTGAATTTTGTATGCTCATTTTAAAATGCTGTTATATCCTAAAAGACTTTAATGTGGACAAGCCAACAGTAAGTTATTGATTCCTTTCATCTGAGTCAATTTCTAAAATCTTTTGAGTCTATTTTGGTGGGAAGGAAATATAATGGTTTTGTGTTGGTGGGAATCTGAATTCTTTCAGGCCACAATCAGTGTTTCCTGTCCAGTCTCTTTTCACACATGAGGTCTGTGGTTTGATTTATTTACTGTCAGACAGTGAGCTCATTTATAAACAAAGCAAAATAGATGTAACATTTTTCCATGGGTTATATTTAAATTCTTATTTCCATCTGTCTTATTTCTATAGCTCATAAGATTATTTTTACCAGTTTTAATGAGATAGAATCCTCATACTATATAATTCACCCACTTAAATGATCCAATTCAGTGATTTTTAATATATTTATAGAGTTGTACAATCATCACCTAATTAATTTTAGAACATTTTCATCACCCTAGAAAGAAACTTCATGCCCATTAATAGTCATTACCCATTTTCTCCTTAGCCCCTGGTAAAACTAATTTACTTTCTTTTTCTATGGACTCTTCTAGTCTGGGCATTTCATAAAAATGGAATAATTTAATATGTGGCATTTTATGACTAACTTCTTTCACTTAGCATACCATTTTCAGGGTTCATCTGTGTTAGAGCATGTGTCAGTATTTCACTTCTTTTTATTGCCTGATAATGTTCCATTATATGTGTATACTACATTTTATTTCATCGCTGTTCTTGATCAGCTGATAGGCATTTGAGTTTTGTCCACTTTTTGGCTATTGTGAATTATGTTGCTATAAACATTCTGTACTGATTTTTTTATATATATATAGTGCTGGGGATTGAACCATACACATACTAGGAAGTGCTGTACCACTCAGCTATATCATCAACCCTCTGTACTAATTTTTATGCAGATGTATTTTCATTTATCTAGAGATGAAATTGCTGGGTCTTTCGGTAACTCTATTTGACATTTTAAGGAACTTTCAGACTATCTTCCAAGGCAGCTGGGCTATGATACATTCTCAGTGTGTGAGCTTTCTAATTTATATAATTGTCAATATTTATTGTTAGCTCTCTTTTTCACATTAGAGTCACCCTAGTAGGCATGAAATAGTATCTCATTGTGGTTTCAATTAGAATTTCTCTATTGGCCAATGATACATCATTGCTTGCTTATTGACCACTCATATATCATCTTTGGAGAAGTGTCTATTCAAGTCTCTTGCCCATTTTATCATTGTTATTTGTCTTTTAATTGTTCAGTTGGAAAGATTTTCTTTGGGTGTGTTTTTAATGCAAATCCCATATTAGAGATATGATTGCAAACAGTTTTTCTCATCCAGTGAGGTTTCTTTGTTTTGTCTGACTTCCTTGATGATGTCTTCTGGAACAAAAGTTTATAATATGGATAAAGTACAATTTATTGATAGTTTTCTTTTGTCACTTGTGCATTTGGTGCCATAACTAAGAAACTACCTCTTGGTCCAGGACCATGAAGATTTCTGCCAGTTTTCTTCTAATAATTTAATAGTCTTTGCTGTTATATTTATGTCTTTGATGCATTTTGAATTATTTTTTATATCTGATATGAGTTAGGGATCCAACTTCATTCTTTGGCACATGCAAAAGTTGTTCCAGCACTATTTGTTGAAGATTCTTTCCTAGACCAATTATCCTAACACCTGAGAATACTTTTATGGCTGATTTCACCTCTTCATTGACGTTGCAAATTGAGCAAACAAAATCATTATATTTCATTATTTTAAATCACTGAATCCATGCAGTGAATGAAAAATTCCAAATATATACACATGTGGGGATTAAAGCACTTTTTGCCTTTCAGTGTCTTTGATATCTTTCTTTCATATAATATGTGAGGAATTTTAGACTTAAAGACATAAAGAGTATCAATATTTTATGTGACTCACGATATTTTATGTGGTTCACATTATTTTATTAATTCCTTACAACTGCTCAGGAAAGTAGATCACATAGTAGTAGTTCTCGTTGTGTTGTTACTGTCTCCATTTTTAGCATTAAAAACCAATTACTGTATGACATTTTAGATCACTAGCAGCAATAGGCAAAAATAGCTTTGAACCTCAATCTTTGAATTTTTGACACAATCTGCCCCATCCCTAATACCATGTAACTTCATTTCACAGCGGGTTGAGGTTAAGGTCATTTGGGGTTTTCTCAGCCTAAGACAAAGGAATTCTACCCTGGCTATTCCACTTTCTCTTTGACTAAGCCTTGGATACCAGCTGCGCCCAGCAAGTGGTGATGACCTTGAATGAGGAAGGGGCCCTTTGGGCTATGGAGAACAAAACCTACAGAAGCCCCTTACTGTGGCCAGCCCTCCCAGAAGCTGAGGGGGTGCCTGTCCTTATCCTGTGGCAGTGAGATATAGACAGCATAGCACGGCATCTACATCTCAAAGGATGTGTGGCGGATCTCACTCTTGATTTCGCACATCAGAGTCACCACTGGACCTTTGCAAAATTTTAAAGACATTAATTCAACTTCAAGGTTATAGGTCATAGTTTCTTGACATGGGGCCCAGGCACTTGATTATTTTTATGCTCCAAAGGTGACTCCATGGCACAGGTAAGGTGGCTTAGGACGAGTTTGGAATAGTGCACATGACCATATAGAGTAGTGGTGGTCCATTCTTTCACAGGTAACCTTTATTCTTTGCCTTTTTTTTTTTTTAAGAAAGTCATCATAGGCTCTATTTCTGAACTGACTTTAAAACAGCCTGTTTACACTTAAACATATATGTACACATGGACATTCCTTGCATCCTTGCCAATCTCCCAGTTCTATGGGGTAATCTAGGTTTGATTTATAAAATGCATTATCTTTCCATCAGCCCTTGTAGTTCATTGATGTAAGTGTGCCTGCTGTATTTATGAAAAAACATTTGATAAAAAAAGAAAAGTACTTTTTTGTGTGTGAAACTGAAGTAAGTCAAATTAGTTCACCAGACTGAGCAGTGAATCATGAATTTTGGAACTATGATTAGCTAATAAATAGAGTTGGTTGAGCTGGAACTTCACTCATCCCCTCTAATACATAGCTTAACATGTACCTGTAAGATTTATTTATAAGTGTGTGGGAGCCTGCAAGGATGTTTTTCTTTACCATATTAATTTGTCTTTTAAAAGCTGGACTTCTAAAATCATGAAATCCTAGCATTTAAGGGCTGTAAAGAACTTTGAGCTATTTTCTGATTGAACATTTCCTAGTGATCCTGGGGGCTGCTTTTGAAAGTAAAAAGATGTGTGATAAGGCACTTTCAGTCCCAGACTGTATCTCACACTTGGAGATTTATAGGACTCATTCCAGACTGGCAGTTTCAAGCTTACTTTGTAGAAAATGGAAAACAAATCCATCAAATTTCACATTAATTGTGTCATTGAGCTCTGATCTTTCAGTAGTTATGTGTTCTTTGATAGTCACATGTGTTTCACATATTTAGACTTTCACCAGATAAACACATGCATCCTGGAATCATATTTTTTGTTTTTGCCATTCTCTGCATCACCATATTATTATCCCTATGTTATATTAATTGCAACTATAATTTTTTTTCCTTAATAACTTGATGTCTGTGAGCCTATATTCTGACGCAAGGTCAAGGCAGAAAACTTGACCTTGAAATCTCGACCTTGAAATCTCGTCTTTTAGGCTTCCAGTATGGAGCACCTCCTTTTCACTAGTTGGGGGCCATGATGAGCCATCCCCAGGAGTGTCCTTCTCTTCTTTTGTAGACTTCTCTGTTTTGTACTCTTCTGAAACTCAGAACTTCCCTGCCAAAGTCACATTCTTACCAACAAGTATAATTTTGGCTTTTGTAAAAAGAATAGACTTCAGCATAAAGAAGATGGAGTGAAATGACAATTTGCGGTTGCAGGCCTGACCAGGTGACACAGGCCATCTTCCAGGTCCCTCCTATTCCAGAGAGATCTTTAAATGGCCCACTCCCTCAACTGGGCGACATCTTTATTTTTCTGCCAATGCTGAAATCTAACTCACACTAGTCCCCTAAGCAATTTGCTCTGCTCTCTTCAGTCTCTCATCCTTCCTTCTCAGCAGCTGCAATGCTTTACAGAAATAGGTTCTTGCAAAGACTTAGTGTTCTGATCCATGACCTGGAGCCTCAGACTCATGTTTATCCCACGCTGAACTAAGAGCAGCTGGATGAATCACTGCAGGAAGCGGCATGTCTGTTCCGATAAGTATAGTGACTTGGAGTTGAGACCAGCTCCCAACCCACAACCTGTCTTTGATGATTCAAATGTGACCAGAGGTCAGGAAGAAAAATCATAATACATTGTCTAAAGCTGAATGTCTCTTACTATGTTTGAATAAACCAAAGGATAGACTAAGACCAACTGATCTGGGTAGGAAATGTTAAAACACCATGTGATGTAAGCAAGTGATTACCTTGAATAGTCTCAGATCTTTGCTAATGGAAATGACAAGTGTACTTTGGCCTTGGTACAAAGTTGGGAAGTGAGTAGTACATTTCACACTGTTACTACCAAAAATGTTGACACATGCAGTGAAAACAAGCAGTTAACTTAAAGTCTGTGTTTAGTATTAAACTACATTTAAAAATACACTATTATACTATGTGAAAAAATATGCAGCTTTAGAAATTATTCTAACTCCTCAAAATTCCTATAACTGTAGAAGAGTTTCCATCTGCCCATATCTGGGTGAGATGGGAAATACACCACTGGAAAATCTGAAATTATTGTGAGAACAGATGTCTGGAGAGCTGGGCTGTCTCCACGTCTGTTATCCACAGGTATGCCACCCTTTGAGTGTATCGGTCTGCTTTTCTAACAGTGTTTCTTCATTAACAAAGAGAATA